TTAATTAATAAAAGTTTCTGATATTTAAGAACCTAAGTTAAAGCTTTAATAAGCTTCAGTTTATAAGACTATGAAAAGCGAATTAACTAATAAAGGCTACTCTGATTTTAGATTTTTAGGATAAGGAGCATAGGGATTAGTTTTGTTAGCAAAGAATTCGAAAACTAAAATGAGGTATGCTATCAAAGGTGTTTAAGTTAGAGATTCTGAAGGAAATATTGACGAAGATCTTAGCAATACAGTGAGATAAGAAGTAGAAATACTTAAAAAATGTGGAGGCTCTCCTTATGTAGTCAGTCTTTTAGATTAATTTGAAGGAAAACAATTCAGTTACTTAGTTCTAACTGAGTGTTAAGGTACAAATATTAATATTCATTTACTTTAAAATTAATGAAACCATTTAATTGAAAGTTTTTAATGCAAAATAAATGTTATAAATAAAAAGGTACTCTCACCTAAATTTTAGAAAGGAACTAAAACAAAAGACTGAATGAAATATCAGCAATCAAATATGCTAATGACATTGCTCAAGGTCTCTACTACATTCACTCTAAGAACTGCCTTGTTAATGATCTGAAAATGGATAATATCTTAATTGATTACCATGGAAATGCAGTTGTTTGTAAATTGTTAACAAACACTAACAAGCTTGATTGATTTTCTATAAAATATTTTAAATAGCTGATTTTGGTATGGCAGATAACCTAACATATAAATCTGGCTATGCAATCAATCAATATGTATGAACATATTTTTTTATCAGAAATTAAAGTGGTATAATTATAATAAATTTCAAAAAATGAAAGATGGGAAACTTCTTGTATCAAGCTCCAGAGTGTTATGATCCAGCTGATTCAGATATAGGTAAGGTTTATCATGATGAATATTTAAAATTAGGTGTCAATGTGAGACTATAGCCAAGCAACAGAGTAAATAAATATTTAAAAAAAATTATTTTAATAAAATCAAATTATTATTATGCTTATTAATTTAAACAGAGTGAAGCATGTTCTTTAGGTATTAAATTAAATAAAAAATATAATATTTATTTTTATTTGCATACATTATTAAAAGGATATCTAATTTATACAATGGTCTAGGGAATAAATATTAGTTTAGCATTAAATAAGCACAAGCAATTAAATTATGATGGTGAATTTACAAATTTTGTTTATCACAAATAGCTTAAATATATTATTGAAGGATTAACTAATTTTGTTCCAAAGAATAGAATGCCTATTAAAGAGGCTTTAATTATTTTAAAGGGAATTATTTCTTTTGAATTTTAGTTAGATGACATGCTTATTGAGATGATAGATGGAAACACTCAACAGTTCACAAGTTCACTCAAAAATGAAATTGAGTTTGTTAAAGAATTTTCAAACAAGTTTTATCCAATCATGTATGTTTGTTTATTTTAATCTACTCTTTCGTTAAATTTTTTAAAGTAAAAATGAACAGACCTTAAACTAAGAGTTGAAAGAAGATCATCAAAAAAGATAATATGTTAATTTTTTATTTTTACTCAAAATATCCTCAATTTATTCAAAAAAATTCGTAAAAAAGGAGGCAAAAATAGAAGAATTATAGAAAATAAATCTTTAACTAGAATAAAAAATTAGTGAATAAGAAAAAACAATTAAAGGTTTATTAACCTAATTAGAATAATCTTAAAATTAGTTAATGAATCAACCTTAGATTAAGATGATGCCAACGATGATGAACACGAATTAGTAACATATTATTTTTTAAGAAATTAATAAATAGGAAAAGAAAAGAAAGATGAATTCCCAAGAAAAAAACTAACTTTGAATTCAAGAAATAAGTTTTTAACAGAAACCAATAAAAATATTATTAAAAAGAAAGTATACATTTTTCATCAGTTTACTTCAAAAAAATTAATTAATTTTAATATAATAAAAAATAGCATGTAATTAATTCCTTTTCAAAAGTCATTTATTAACTAAAAAGTTATCATTCAATTAAAAAAATTGAATAGCTAGTAATTTATTTAAATTTATTTGTAAAACCTTAATAATCTTCCATTAAAAATTCTTTAGAAAGTAAATTCCTTCAATTGCTAGAAATTAATATAATATCATATTCCAATAGCAAGTATATTTATCACTCAATTTCAATATATCAAAATATTTATTTTTTATTAAAAAGGAAGTAAATTACTTTGAAAATCATGATCATAAATTTATAACCATATTCTTTTAGAGGGTCTCATTTTTATCTATAGCTATTACTTTATTTATCTATTTCTCTAATATAGATTGTAATCTCTCATCCCTTCCTTAAAAAATACTAAACTTACTTATATTTTCAAAATAGCATGTAACGTTTTTATCAGAAAATGCTTAAATTAACTTTTATATTCAAAATAGAGAGTAATTAATATTTTAGAATGATTTTTGATGAGAAAATAAATGCTGAATTAACTTTCATATTCAAAATAGGATGTAATTAATTAATATTTTAGAATGATTTTTGATGAGAAAATAAATGCTGAATTAACTTTCATATTCAAAATAGCTAGTAATTAATTAATATTTTAGAATGATTTTTGATGAGAAAATAAATGCTGAATTAACTTTCATATTCAAAATAGCAAGTAATTAATATTTTAGAATGATTTTTGATGAGAAAATAAATGCTGAATTAACTTTCATATTCAAAATAGTGGGTAATTAATTAATATTTTAGAATGATTTTTGATGAGAAAATAAATGCTGAATTAACTTTCATATTCAAAATAGTGGGTAATTAATTAATATTTTAGAATGATTTTTGATGAGAAAATAAATGCTGAATTAACTTTCATATTCAAAATAGCCTGTAATTAATTAATATTTTAGAATGATTTTTGATGAGAAAATAAATGCTGAATTAACTTTCATATTCAAAATAGCTAGTAATTAATTAAT